TTTTTTTTTTGTCTTTTTCTGTGTCCGGCAACGGATCGCAACCCTCAGTGTCGCCCCCGTACCGGACCGGGACCGGCAATGGGATCGCAGCCCTTGGTGTTGCTCCTGCGCCTCGCTCAGCCAGTGAGCAGGAACCGGTCTGTATGTGGGATCCGAACCCTCGGTGGGAGCGCCGCCGCGCTTCCCAAGCAGCGCACTTAAGCAGTGCGCCACCGGGCCGGCCCCGCAACAGTGCTCATTCTTTGAGCCAGCTGTTTGAGACTGGGAGAGGTTAAGTCGTGTGCCAAAGAGAATATTGCTATTAAGTGACAGTATCCAGATATACATACACCCAAGTCATGTAGAGTCCAGAGCCTAGGTTTGTTCCACTGCATCGTGTCATCCCAGATGACCTTGTGTTCAGTGGGCGGGGTGTCTTCTCACATTAATAGTCATCCAAAGGCCCTCATCTCTCGTTTCCCTGGCCTGTCACAGAGGCACTGTTAACTGTCATTTGGCATCCTTTGTGACATGTGGAGGTAGGTGGGTTATGTGATGTCAACTCAGTCCATGCCTTGGCCTGAAAAATTGTCAGCAACAATGCTTTCTCTTACTGTCACCAGATGAACTTCTAACAATGGGCCCAGCCTTTTAACCTGATGTGTGTTTTTTCTGTTGATGACATTACTACCTCTTAAACTGGCTGTGGTGAAGGACCAGTTTTTTTCATTTCCAATTTGTTGAGGACTGATACTTAAAAAAAACGCAATAGAATTATGTTGCCATATCGAATTGCTGTAAAAGTTCCAAATGCTTGCTCTCAGCTTTTGTATGTATCTCATTGTGGGCTGGTGGAATAAACAGTTCCTGGCCCCACACTGGTCTGTGGATGCATCTTGAATAAGCACCCTACTGTATAATTTAGGAGAGGCATATGAAGAAGAGTATAATTTCTTTAAGCCACAATTTTAAAACAAATTTAAATTAAGAATAGTAGTGTCTCTGTTTAGTATTCCAATTTTTAATATTGTGTCTACAACTTTTTAAAATTACAAAAGTAGTTTGTATTTGAAAGAAAAATCCAAATAGTACAAAATTTCCAAATTAAAAATATTCCCCTTACTTTCAGTCTACCCTCCAAACTACTATTATCAATTCTTTAATTGAAAGTTCATCTCACATTCAAGAAAGAAGGGTGTGGATCAAGATTTATGGAGCGAAAGGATGGGAGAGTAAACACTTCAGTAATTTACCCAATTTTTAACTCTATTCTATCTTGTTTTTTTATTTCAAGGGGGAAAATATAACTTTTATGAACATGTATTACTGTATATAGATCTAAAGTAACATGACAATTATCTTTGATGCACAGTATATTCTAATATGATTCTCTTTTGTTGCAGAGCCAGATTACATTAATGGATATACCCGTGTTTAAAGCCATCCAGCCGGAGGTCTGTACTTTGTCCTTATACTCTTCTATAAATGCTGTGACTGGGAAGAGAGGATTTAGTTAGCTGCTGTTAGAGTGTCTTGGTTTCTCTACTGAAGTCTCTGTTAAATGAATGTTATCCATATAAACCCTGTTCCATTCTTGACAGTGCTCATTCTTTGAGCCAGCTGTTTGGGTTCTCCAGAGAACGTCACCTGTCTGACCCACTCTGGCGGGGCCCACAGTTGGTTCCCAAAGGCCTCCATGATGAGTGTTGGGCCTTGACACACTAATTCCTTTTCTTAGGCTCCTCCTACTGACAATGTTCACTGTCAAGAAGGGGATGTGAGGGAACATTTTTCTAGAGAGCTTTCTTTTTGTTGATCCCAAATTCTCGTGGTTGCCTTGTTTCTGTTTTTGAAACCAGTTGCCACAGCAAAACACATATATATTTACTTTAAAAGCATTTGTACATTTTTAGAAATGGGATATTCAATAAAGGGAAAAAAGTTGATTTTGATCTTTAAAAATAAGTTTCTGGACATGTCTGGCAGTTGATAACAAGGCTTTAGTTATTTTACTCAGGGTTATTTTTTTCTTTAGCAAGTAACAGAAATTCATTTCAAAGGAGTTGAATAGGCAGAAGAGGAATTTATTACAGGGATAAAGGAGCACTTTCCAGACTTTGTGGGCTTGGAGGTCAGGCAGCCTGGAGAGCCACCCAGGACACAGGTATTCCCTGCTTCCTGCCTCTGCTTTTCACTCTCTTCCTCTCTCCTGCCTTCTTTCCTATCTGCACATGTGATCCAACTTGGCCTCCACAAAGAGCCCACCTTTACCTGATCCCCATTTAAGCCACCATCCTAGACTGTGACCAGCAACTTTCAGTCAAGCCCAGCCTAGTCTTGCATCCAGGGCTGATCCAGTCACCTAAGGCCAAGAGTATGTGGTCAAGACGAGCAGTCATGGCTGAAGGACACACCCAGACTTGTGAGTGAGGTGCAGATTTCAGAAAAGAGGGGTGTAGGTGCGGAGATACGTCAAAAAGTGTCTGCTGCAACCATGGTGTGAATTCTAGAATGCTCTTAATTTAATGCTCTTCTTCTTATAGTACAGTGACTGTTCAGACTTTGAGAAAGACAGAATATCCTAATACAAAGCCAGAGAAAATGTGCCTGCCTTCTGAGAGCTGGAATCTAATCTACTATAAATTTTAAGGAAGAAACTAGTACCACTAGGAGTACTCAGCGTTTATGTGGCAATGATGATGTGTATGTGTATGTGTGTTGTGTTCATTAGGTTTGGGGAGCAGAGCTGTGTTTGCTTTTTTGAATTGGCTAACTTCCAAAATTTTTCTGCTTTCTAATGTGAAATGATCCATTCTTTCTAATTAAAAACAACAACTCACTACCTCTTAGGGCCTTTGGGGGGAGTAGTTGTGTGATGGTTGCCTTAGTTCTCAGATGAAGCTATTTCTGATCATGTTCTCTGCTTTAGCTTTGATCTGGAGCAGTTTAGACATCTGGGTCTTTATTCTTTATCCTGAACGTCAAGGAGGGCAACCCAGCCTGCTATAGTCCCTGAACCTGCATGTGCCCAGGAGACTGGGACCACTGCCTAGGCTGACGGTAGGAGGGAAGAGGGTGGCAGCTTCTTCCTCTTCAGAGGCACATCTTGGGCCAGACCAAGACTTTTCCACAGTGCACTGCAGTTTGGAAGGTGCCTCATCGATGCATATCTTGTTTCTGCATATCTTTTATCAAGTTGTGACAAGATGTCAAAATGGAGATGTTTTGCTTTCGATTATCTCTTGGAGCAGGTTCTCAATTGTAGCTGCAGATGAGAATTACCTATACAGCCTTTGAAACGTGAGGTGCCCAGACCCCACCCTAGACCATTGAATCTGAATCTCTGGGTTGGGGTCTGGAACCTAATCAGGCCTATTTTGTAAAAGTTTACCAGGTGATTGTGATGCAGAGTGAGGATTCAGAACTAATTGCTTTTAGGTATCTGGAGAAACCCCACACTTGAATGTCTTCGTTCTATACCTTGTTAGCTAAAAATGGAAGAGTTTTTTCCTCATTGTCAAAATCTCATTGACATTAAAAGAAGGATCTTGGGAGCTGCCACAGCTTTTTGCTGTTATTATTGTTAGCAGCCTAAAAACTGGAAGTTTTCCTCTTGGGGATGCCTGCCATATTGTGGCTGGACCACCCCAGAGTTGGAAGGGGGTGAATAAGGGAAAATTGTAAGTTTGATGTAGGCAAGACTTTCCAAGAAGCAGAGACCAGCATCAAATAGTAAGATGGGTGTTCCGGGTGACCTGGGAAACCAGTGTACTAGTGCCTTTCAGCCTGGTTATGCATCAGAATCAGTTGGCGAGTTCTGTAAAAAAAAAAAAAAAAATTCAGATGCCCAGGTTTCATCCTTGGAGAGTCTGATTGCATAGGTTTAGGCATAGGCTCTAAGGTCAAAAGTCCAAATTCAGGTAGTTGATTCCAGACCTTTAGTAATTCTGGCTCTGTCAGTAACCAGCCATGTGACCTTGGGTAAATCACTTCCACCTCTCTGAGTTTCAATTTCCTCATCCATAGAATGGGGATGGAAAAGTACCTCCCTCAGAGGGTTATTTGGAGAATTAAATGAGAAAATGCATGTAAAGTACTTAGCACAGAGGCTGGAACCTAGTAAAAGTTAACGAGAACCATTTTGAATGTGTGGCATGTACCAGGTGTGTGCTAAATCATTGAAAGCTTTACCTGTGTTACCTCATTTAATCCTCAGTTCATCCTGGGAAGTGCAGTTATCACTCCATTTATAGATGGAGATGCTTAAGCATGGAGAGGTAATGTAAGTGCCTGAGCAACTTGTCACAGCAAGGAAGTGATGGGAGCAAGGTATGAACCCTGGCAATTGGAGTTCAGAGTTTATAGCTACTATTAGTATGATTTTTCTTGCTGTGACCATTGGTGTCACCCACCAGTACCACTTTGCATCTGTCTCTGGCTCACCCTAGGATAAATGCCTTCTCTCCTCAGCCCCCTACCCTTTTGTTCTCCCATTTTTCTGCCTCTCAGTTCCTCTGCCTTTCTGTCTTATTCTTTTAAAAAATTTCTTATTGTTAAAAATTTAAAAAGAATATGTGAAGAAGGTCAAGAAGGTCAAGGATTTGGATCCCTCTACCAGCCAGCTACAAAAAGTAACCCCAAATATATATATATATTTATATATTTTTTCATATATATATGAAAAGTGGTAAAATGAATCCTCATGTACCTGTTACCCAGATCCAATAGTTATTAAGATGTTGCCATATTTTCTTCATTTACCTCTTTTTTCTTTATATTTATTTCCAGAAATCTTTGAAGCGAAATGCCTGACATCCTGTTATTTCCCTTCTTCAAGCTTCGGATGTAGCTATTTCCTAACATAACCACAATGGCATTATCATACCTAACAAAATTAGCAATAATTCCTTGGGATCTAAGTGGTAGAATTTCATATTTCCCCAATTGTCTTGAAAACAAACAAAAATTGAAGGTCAGGTTAGTTGCACTGTATAATATTATACATTATGAATACTCTGCTTCCTCTTGATGGCTTATTTACCTGTGCCCTACGTTTTCTTTCAACTGGAAGTTAATCTGAAAGGCTGGATTGGATTTTGGTTCAATCTTTTTGAGAAGAATATTTCATATGTGGTGCTGGGTACTTTGTATCACATCACAATGGCAGACATGCGGTTGTCCTCCTCTTTGTCATATGGAGATTGGTCAGTGGGATCAGGTGGTGACTATCTCATCCTTTCATTGTAAAGTTCCCCATGTGACTTTTATCTAATGATTTCATCTACTGATAATCTTTGCCTGAAATGAGTTTTTATTAGGGGTAGCAAAATGGTAACTTTTCTAATTCTATCATTCCTCTACATTTATAGCTGAAATTCTTAAGAATTTTTCGTCATCAACTAGGGCTACATATACACAAAAGGCAGAGTAAATACTTAATCATTTCCTTTTAATTATCAACGATGAGAGTAAGCAGTTGGTGTCCCACTTATCTTTAATGGTGACTTGTGTGTGTGTTGCTTTGTTTTGTTTTTGGTGAGCAGTCTCTCTTCTCTCTTTTTTCCCTCTCCTCTCTCTCTTCTCTCACTTTCCCGTCTTCTATCTCTTTTCCCTCTCTTCTTTCTCCTTCCTCTCTCTCTCCCATCTTTCCTCTCCCCCCACCCACCCCATCTCTCTAGGGATCATAATTGAACTCATGGATTTTTATGTATCTTGTGTATTTCAATCTGTTGTAGTCACTGTTCTTTTTAATGCATAAATTTTCCTGTCTTTGACCAATGGGAGCTCTTTCAGGTTGTTTCCTGTATTCTTTTAATATGATCCCATTACTTTTTGGTAGCTTCCTTGCTTTTTGCCTAACAAGATATCAAGGGTCATGTTCTACGTTTCTTGCTGCAGACCTGGAATCAGGGATTCCTTCAGGGGGTGCTAGTTTCTTTTAGTGGAGAATTATTAGGAACCACCATCTGGGTGAGGGCTTCTCAGTGCTACTGGGTTGCCTTTGCTTTTGGACCTTTTTGGTGGACAGAACTGAGTAAACATTATGTTGTAAAAGCAAGAAGTCATGAGTTCATAGTCAGGGTAGATGGTTCTGTTTCTTCACAATCCTTCCTTTCCTTTTCATCCTTGTCATAGCTTCGCTGTGGGTACTGTATATTTCCCCATCCTATTGACTTTGGGCCTAGCTCTGTGACTTGGTTGGGCCAGTAGAACATGGGTAGGACTGGCAATGTGCAGATACTGAGCTGAAATGGTAGGGGGTGTGGCAGACTTCCACCAGCCCTCTTGGAACTTCCACTCCCTATGGTGTACTGCAATCTATTGCTTGATTATCCTCAGTCCTCAGGTGAGGATATTACAGATGACCTGAGCTGACCTACAGCCTGGATTCCATGCTAACCCAAACAAACCCAAGTGAACTCAGCAGAGATCAGCTGAGCTGTATCACTCTACAAACCTATGAATGTGAAATAAGTGTTGTTGTAAGCATCTGAGATTTGAGGGTGGTTTGTTATACCACATTATCTTATAGAAATCTCATTAATACGATATTGATCTTTCCAATCCAAATCTAACATTAATGAGTCATTACTTAATTCCCTTAATGTTTATATATTTTATTTTACACTGACAATTTTGGTTCCTAACAACATTAAATAATTACTTTTTTGCATTATCCTCTCATATATATATATAAAATAGTTTAAAAGTAATAATATCAATATAACTACTAACCAGCAGACTACTGGTTAAAATTTGACATTTCTTTGTAGTTGGCTCCTTTTCTTGTCTTTTCTCTCTCCTACCACTTACACACACAGGCGGGCCTCCTTCCTTGGCTTTCCTCCCAGAGGACTTCGGAAGCACCAGGGAGGAAAAGAGGGTTATGCTCATTTGGTTCTAGAAGTCTAGCACAAGACTTACATCATGGTGCCCTGAGGGTCCTGCAAACATCTAGTGGGAGCCTTGCTCTGCCTTGGAGTTGGGACATTAGCACTGGGCCCTGGAGACTAAAAGGGGTCCTATATTATTGGTGACTTGGGAGATGGGGGGGTATTGGAAAGGGAATTTCAGGCAGAATGAATAACCCCTTGAAAAGACAGATGATATATATTTAGCAAAATTTAATACGACTTTTGGTGTGGGGTGTTCTGGGGAGAAGGAAAGGAGAGCCTACTGATCTTTGTCTCTCTTCCTCACTGCCCGTGGCCTTAGAAGGAAACTGCTAAATTGTGTTTTAAGAAAAAGGCAGATCTGGTTAGAATGAGGTGGTGGGAGCAGCATTAACACATGTTGGGACAAAGGCGGCATTTTGGAAGTCCCTGTGGGGCACTTACTCTAGAGTGATTTGCTTTCACCCTTTCTGGCATCAGGCTGGAGTTTGAGACCTCAGAGTGTGACTTGACTAGCATCTGTAGGGTCTCTTTCTGGTTTGCAGAAAGGCTGGCTTGCAGGAATGGAAGACTCCCTGCAGAAGTCCACAATTTCCTGTGGGCCACATGACACATTGCAGTTCAGGAAAACTCTGCCTGTGGGTTCAGGAACTGACCCTCTGGCCTTTTGTCTGGATACTGTTTGCCTGCTCTGAAGAAGCAGGCATTCCAGAACGCCGAGGTCAGTGTTGGATGTTGGACAAACCCAGTGTGTCTTTGCTGCTCCTTGGAATCACAGTGTTTGGCCCTGGGAGAAGAGAAGAGTGTTGCCAGTAGGCAGTCATTTGTAAAGAGGAGATTGGTTTCACTGACATCATTAAAACCCCTGTCTCAGGTCACATGCTGGGCAGTTTTCTCAGACCATTCCCCTCCACTGCGCCATCCTGGACTAAGGCACTGCTGCCTCTCCTCTGAATGATGGTAGCAGCCTTTTCACTTCTCCCCACATTTAATCCCATCCCCCAGCCTCCTCTTTGGAGCCAGAGACATCTTTCTAAATCCAAAGTCTGACCACATCCCTGCCCTGCTTAGAGCCCTCTGTGGCTCCCCTCTGCTCCTAGGATGCAGATCCACCTCCTTCATGCAGTCTGCCAGGCTCTGGGAGATGGGCCAGCAGTAGACCTCTCAGCCTTCTCCTGCTCCAACCCACCTTTGCGTGGGTGCCACAGCCTCCCTGGTTTTCTCCCTCATCTAGGGCCTCCCCACAGGCTTCACGCTCTGCCTGGAATGGTCTGCTCTTCTCTCAGGAGATGATGAGCTGTTAGAGCTCCAGGGTAATGCTGCTCCCCCTTATATACCCTCTCATAGCCACCTACTACTTCTTGTACATAGCACTTTTCACAATACTGAAATATTATGACTTCTTAAAGTTTGAGTAATTAGTTGTTCAAAGTCTGTCTTCCTCCTGGATTATAAACTCCAGAAACCCAGGCATCATGCCAATACTCTTCACTCCTGTCTCCTGTGAGCTAGAACAGGCTAATGTTTGTTATTTGTCTAATACATTTAGGATGTAGTTTTGGTAATAACAATAAGATCCCATTGAATCCTCTTGACTTTTAGGCTATACTACCTACCTTTGTTTTAAAAAACTGAATTGGTTGGGGGGTGGTTCTGGTATCCTCCAGTTGGGGCCAAGGCATGGAAAGGATGGCTCCCAGTGTGAGGCTCATCAGTGATGACACGGGTTAGCACCGGAAGCCTGAGCAGCCGTCTCTCTCATCTGTTAGTGCTCTGAGTTCACATTTGTTATTTGTTCTTCATTTTGTAGTAATTGCTGTATCCATTGTAATGAGTTCTTGTCACAGTGGAAACAAAGTAGAAAGGTCTTCCCCCCAGCTCCATTCATGATGGAGACAGGGTGGAGGTTGGAATCCCCCTCTGGGCCTCCAATGACCTGTCTGAAGGACAGGGAGAGCCCACCTGGGACAGAAGTTGGATCTGGCAGACTATGGGCCAGCAGCACATTTGATGCAGTGAAGCCAACACTTTTCAGCTTCAAGACTCATTTTTTCTCTCTTCTTGAGCATGGATATGACATTAGTGCTGGTTAGAAATCAAATTTCCTTTTAAATGAATTAATAACACAAAACAGAACCTTTGGTGAACAGCTGTTTTCATCCATTGGGACTTGGCGCCTGCTTGTGATTTTTGTCTGCAAGGAAAAGAACCTCTTGTCGCAGGAATAACTGTGTGATCCTAGACAGTTTGATGGGATGGGAGGATCTTAAGCTTTGGAGGCGAGAAGGTCTGCATTTGAAACCTGGTTCTGCTACTCTCTAGTTATGGGATCATGTTCATTTCCTGTCTCTCCATGTCCTTATCTATAAAATGGAAATGACGCCCATCTCACAGTGTGAAGAGGTTGTATAAGCAGAAGGCCCACCGTGTGCCTGGCAGATGGTAGAAACTCACAAATTATTTTCTAAGTTTTGAGAGAAGTCAGGGATATAATAAGGAGGAAAGTCAATAGACAGTGCTAATAAGTCAAGCTTAGAAGGGCCCTGGGCACAACAGTATGTAAAGCTCCCTAAGGGTAGGACCTTTTCTGTCATTGCTATATCCCTTACTCTAAGCAAGGAGTAAGCTTTAGCTTTGTCCCACACATTTTGATATTTTGGGCTTTCATTTACATTCATTTCAAAATGCTTTCTAATTTTCTTTTTGACCTATGAATATTTAGAAATGTTTTATTTAATTTCCAAATATTTGAAGATGTTCTAGGTATTTTTCTGCTACCGATTTCTAATTCCATTGTGGTTAGAAAACATACTTTGTATGATTTGAATTATTTTAAACTTACTGAGACTTATGGCACAGAATATGGTCAATTATTGGTAAATGTTTGGAGTAAACTTGGGAAAAAATGTGTATTCTGTTGTTCTTGCGTGGAGTGTTCTATAAATATAATTGACTTCAAGTAGTTGTAATTGGCTAACAGTGTTATTGAAATTATCTGTAGCCTAACTGATTTTCTGCTTATTTGTTCTATTAATTATTGAGAGAGGGGTATTGTAATCTCCCACTATAATTGTATATTTGTGTATTTCTCCTTCCAGTTCTGTCATTTTTTCTATATGCATTTTGAAGTCCTATCAGGTGTGTAAACATTTAGAATTGTTATGTCCTCCTACTGAATCGGCCCTTCATCATTGTGAAATGATCTGCCTTCTTACTGGTAATATTCATTGCTCTGAAATCTACTTTGATAATATAGTCATCTTTCTTTTGATTAGTGTTAGCATAATATATCTTTTTTATCCTGTTACAATCAACTTATTTGTATCTTTGTATTTAAGGTGAGTTTCTTGTAAGCAGAATATAGTTGAGTCTTGCTTTTTTATCCAGCCCGACAATCTCTGCCTTGTAATTGGTATGCCTAGACTATTTATATTTAATGTAATTATTGATATGGTTGAATTTAAATCTGTTCTTTGTCCCTTTTTCTTATTTTTCTGGCTTTAATTAATTGAGCATGATTTACGATTCAACCTTATCTACTTTATTGGGTTACTAGCTATAATTGGTTTCTTTTGGTGGTTGGTTTAGGGTTTATAGTATGCATATTTAATTTAACATAGTTAAATTAAGTACTTTCAAGTGATAATGTACTATTTCGTGTATAATATAAGAAATTTACAACAGCGTATTAATATTTACTTCCCTTCCATTCTTTGTAGTATTGTTGTCATATATTTTGCTTCCACATAAGTAATAATCTGTACACTTTTATTGCATTTTCATTAAATAATCTGTTAAAGTCTATTATCTTTTAAAGAGATTTTTTAAAAGTGTATATAATAAAATGCACAAATCTTAAGGGTATAACTCAATGCCTTTTTTACAAGTCAAACAAACCATGTAACCACCACCTAGATCAAGATATAGAACATACCAACACCCTAGAAGCCTACCTCATGCCCCCTTCAAGTTATTAACTATCCCTAAATGTAACCAGTATTTGAACTTCTGTCACCATAGCTAGTTTTATCTATCTTCAAACTTTATATAAATGGAATCATAAAGTATATAGTTTTTGTCTGGCTTCTTTTACTCAACATTATATGCATGATATTTATCATATTTTCGTATGTAATAGGAGTTTTGTTCCTTTTTCCTTTTCATATACTATTCCATTCATTGTATGAATAGACCATATTTTATTTATCCTTTCCAATGTTGATGGATATTTTAGTTGTTTCTAGTTTAGGGATATTATGAATAATGCTGCCACAGACATCCTTGAACATGTCTTCTGTTGGACATAAACACACAATATCTGGGAGTGAAATTGCTGGGTCATAAAGTATGTAGTAATTCAACTTAGTAGATACTGCCAAACTTCTTTTCAAAAGTGGTTGTACCAATTTATATTACCATCAGTAGTGTGTGAGAGTTTTTGTTGGCCTACATCTCTGCCAGCACTTGGTATTGCTGGAGAATGGAACAACAGTGCATGGAGAGCTCAGCCCAGTGCATTTCTCTTCTATCTGGTATCTTAGGCCCACCAATCCTGGCTGCTTTGGTTGCTCTCTGATGTCTTTAAATAACTCTGTTTTTATTGTTGTTGTAGTTACTTTACCCAATATTTACAGTTCATTTAATGCCAGTTCCTTTGTTGTAGACAGAATTAAAAGTCTCTTTGAAAACTATCTTCTGTGGGAAAAATTATTTTTTCAAATTGTATTAACATTTAATTGTACTCCAAAGGGTATTGTAGGATGGCATGGGGTGCTACCACGTATGTCTGGGTAATTACAGTTTTCATCGTCATTGTGTTGTCTACTGTTATAGTATCTAGAATATTTTCCCTTTGAAAGGAATTTATGGAAGTGTACCTTACCTTTATGATTACACACATCTGTTTGCAGTTACGTTGCTCCTGGCTTACGTTGGAAAATGTCGAAGGAAGGAAGCGCAGTGGAGCTTGCATCGTCTTTGGTTTTACTTTCATAACCAGACATTTAGGCTGCAGTGGTAGGATTCTTGTCAATGGTCACATAACACCCACAAATGGGAAGGAGCACCACCTCCTCAAAATTCATAAGGGAGAGGGGACTTTATTTGTGAGAAGAAGCATTGCCAAGCAAAAGAAGTCACTCTGACAGGAGAGAACTTGATGAAGATGTGTAACTTGGACATGACTGAGCTGATTGGTGGCTCAGAGCAGATGAAGGAGATTAAAGCAGTTCCTGTGTCAAATGATGTTATTTCTAGAATAGCTTACCCATCTTCTGGTATTTTGAAGCAGGTAATGGAAAGAATTGACAGCTGTGCCATTTCTCTTGCAACTCATTGCATGAACTACTAATGATAGTCTTAGTACAGCCAGCTCCTGTTGGTATCTGTTACCTGCATATTGTCAAAATCCAAGACTAATTCTTATATTGCAACACCCGTTAGAGAATTTCAGAGTCTTCAAAATGGCAAACAGTTTCTTTACCAAGCTAAATTCTGACTAGAGGAATGTCAAAGCTATTTGTGCACAGATGAAGCATCTGCTTTGACTGGCAACATGTCTTTGATGAAGCAGGAAGGCCCACCTGCCACTGTGCCTGGGACTTTCTGTGCCAGCATGCACTGACGTCAAAGCCTGCAATGGTCCTGAAAGCCTACTTTAAAGCTTGCAATTTCATCAGAGTCAGGCATTGAGTTG